TGTCCACTGGTTTAAATTACCAGAGAAAAAACCCAAGCGGAACACAGTTCACTGCCTATGAGGAAAAAACATTACCTTCCTGGAATTTCAATACGTGACATTCTCTATTTGAGGAGAGAAAGACTCCTATTTCAGGAGATAATAGGCGTGGGCCTATTATATAGGTGTATAATACACCGATTTGATTTCCTTTCCACCACTAACCACACTCTCTCTCCTCCCTCCCCTCCCCAAGCCTGCTTTTCCTCAGCGACGTGCTCCCAGTCTGGAAGCTTCCTCAATAGCGTGTAACAGGATAGCACTGCGAGCTGGGCCACAGCACAGTCATTTGAGCTGGCTTTATTGTCTGAAACGCACTGAAAGGGTCCCTGTGCCTCACGTACTGCAGCCCTAAGGACTAGAGTCTGAGCTCAGAGGAATATTCTGGGTTGCTGGTGTCTTGGTGAGGTCAGTTTGCTTGTGGAAATGTCTAGGTTGCAAAAAGAAATAAAAAGTCAAAAAAGGCTGAAAGTACTTCTGAAGTTCAACCAAAGGTCCAGGGGGCAACTCTGAAATTAAGGTGTTCCATCTTGACAGTATCACTGTGACCCTGAGACCCACCTGTGGGAAGGGGGCACAGACCCGGCCGAGGGCAGGGGGCCGCCTTCCCCCACCTGGTGGCCAGCCTGCCGGCTCCTGCGTCCTCACAGAGACAACTTGGTTCACAGGCAGAAAACCCGGAAAGCAGGAAAATACATCCATTTTCTCCTAAAGAGTTGGTAAGAGCGTCAGATTTCCCTGAGCCCTTGGCACTCAGGGGTTAATCATGGAGCTTGGTGCTGGAATCAGTGTTTCTCTTACTTTCCAAAAGGTCCAAGTCTCTCCAGTTCTAACAAGAAGGGTAGTCCAATCAGAAAGTCGCACCCAGTATCGCAAAGGCCACTCATGCCACCTGGAAAGCCAAGTGGCAGGCTGAGCCGCCGGGGGACACCCTGAGATGGTGGTCCTCGGGGAAGGCCCACGCCCAGCCACTGAGAAGCACCACACGGGTCTCTGACTCAGAGGCACCTGGCCTCCCGCTGCTGGTCACTGGCTTCCTGCAGCCCTCACGGCTCACAGCGCAGGCCACACCCTGGCTACAGCCAGCCCGATAGGCCCACGGCGGGGACGCTCAGAACCCTTCCAGAACATGAGGACGCGTCTGGGCAGCACCACCTCCTCTGAGGAAGCCCAAAGAAGCCCTGGATTTGGACATGGTGGTGGGAAGACTCCGTAAGCACAGCATCTCCCGTGCTACGATAACCCTAAGAAGTAAGGCGTAATTGTTTTCTGTTTTAAAGAGATTGAAAAATGAAGCTCCAAGAGGCTAAACAGTTTGCCCAAGTTAACCCAGCTTGCAAGGGCCAAGAAGATATTTCGATTCAGTCTGTTTATCAATCTTCCCAAACGCTAAAGGTAGTAAAAACTCCTGCTCTTGACTCGGGACAAGACCCATGGTTCCCATTAGCTATAGATTCCTCCAGAAAGTCCTTGAAATCCCCAAATAGAAGAGCATTTTTTTTTCCTACCGCAAGCACTTTCAGTTGAGCCTAACAGGTGTGGCTTAGCAGTAGTTGGACTGTGCCTTCAAATGGCTCCTCGTGAGAACGGTACCCGCTGCCTGACAGCAAAGCCAAGACAGACCATGGGGTCCAGTGGACAGGAGGACTCCACTGCAGGTCCTTGAGCCTGTCTAAAGGAATGTTCACAGGCTAGACTTCAGACAGTGAAAACAGCTGCTCTCTGGTGACAAAGGATGAACGATGACCTCCCTCAGGAAGTAAACATAGAGTCATTCCTCAGTATCCGTGGGGGATTGGTCCCAGCACCCTCCGGATACCAAAATCGGTGGATGCTCGGGTCCCATATATAAAATGGCAGAGTACAGTCTGCCCTCCGTACGGCTGGGTTCCACATCCACGGCCTCAAAGCCTAGGCATACGGAGGGCCAACTGTAACCTTGATGGCAGAAGAGGCAGTTTCGGTTTGAACCTGGTTTGCACAATGGCGTGTTCACTTAGGCAACCAAGGGCAGGATCGTGCCGTTCTCTCCTTGATAAGAGAGCGTCCAGCACTCCCTCCTCAGGGAAGGGGGTGGGGGTGGGGGCTGGATCCTTGGCAAAGCTTTGGTTCCCTCTTGGGGGAAATGCTGGGGTGCCATCTCCCTGCTGCAACTTCCCCACCTGACCGTACGGCCCCTGGAGCCTCTGCTCCTAAACCACTAGGCTCGGGCCAAGAACCACCCACCAGCAGCCCACAGGTGACCCGTGGGGCCAGCTGACCTGGGTAGTGACTCTTCTGCCTCCACCCTGGGCCCTCGACCTCTGCCTGGGGTCTTGCCTCCTACACCCTGGCCAGGCCCTTCACTCTTATTTGACGCGGCCCGCAGCGAACCCGGCGTAGGCTGCAGGACCACCTAGGCCCCATCAAAACTGACAGCTTCCCAGTAAACTCTTTCCTTTTCTGAAGATCCCTTTGGATTCTTAACCACAGAATCATCACATATTAGATCTGTAAGAAGCCTTGCAGATTATATAGCCCAACCTCATTTCATGGATGAGGTCCCCAGAGGGGAACTTACTGGCAGAGCTGGGATACCAGCCACATAGTCTTCCTATGCCAATTCTCTTTCCACATCACTGTATCACCTCTCAAAGGAATGAATCACTATGATGGGATGTAGGGTCCTATCAGAGGTGGGTTTTGAGCATGGGATCCTAGAGACCCCTCAAGTCACCACAGGCCTGTTCTGTCTGTGTCCACTCCAGCCTGAGTGGGTATGCTCTGGGCTCCTTCTTCGGCAGTAGTGAGCAGCTCACACTGAGCCCTGCCTTATTTTGTAAGCCCAGCTGGGTTCCATGTCTTTGAGTAACTCAGCTCAAGGATGGAAAACTGGAATCTGAGCAGCCCCCGCCTTCCCATGTCTGGGCTAGGCCAGGATGCTAGAAGGAAAGTCAAGGTGCAAGTCAGCAATCACTAAGCCTGGGCATGTTAGGTTATGTCGATGGGAGGGTCACCGTGTATTGATAACATGGAGGCCCCCTGTGCCCTCCAGCTGGTGCTGGATTTAGACCTCAGACATGAACGAGGACACTACAGGAGGGGGCTGGGGGAGGCACTCCACTTCCTCCAGTGATCCGATGCCCTTTCTCTAAAGGTCCCTCTGCCCAAAGAGGCCCCATTCAGTCTCTTACCACGGACATCCCACTCCCATAAGTCTGTACCAGCCCATGCACTTAAGGGATAGCCGGGAGGCAGGTGGGATTACACAGGGAGCATGTGGTGGGAGCAGGTGGTGTTGAAGTTCACCCTGGCGGCCTTGCTGAGCAGTTATTTCCCATGCAAGACTTTCCTTTCCTGGAACTGGAGGTGGGGGGAGCCTCTTGATCTCAGGCTGAGCCAGTTAAGTTTATCCAGTAGCCCACTCACACTAAAGGACCCTGGTGGCAGCTTGGCCCACACTCAGCAAACACAGATATAAAGTTCATCCATGCCAGCCACATGCCTGCCATGGGGCCTTTGCACTTGCTTGACCTGTGCACCATCACTCCAGATAGCAGTCTGCCACCCCCTTACTCCTCAGTATTATTCAAATATCCCCTCTCAGGGGGGCCTTCTTTTACCCGCCCCCCCCCCACTTCTCTTTTCAGTGCTGTATTTTGCTCCCACATCGCTTTCTAACATAGTTTATATTTTACAAATCTATTGTGCGTATCGTCCATCTTTCCCGCAGCAGAACGGTAGACTCCGTGAAGGCATGCTCCCTGCTGAGCCCCGGTGCAGGGGCAGAGCCTACACACAGTGGTCAGCACGCTCGCACTGCCCACGCCTAGGTGTGGACATGTGGGAAGGAAAAACTGCTTTTTGCTAAATCAGACCTGCTGGGGCTAGTGAAAGCCTCCTACAACGTCCCCAAGCCCCCACTCCCTGAAGGAAGCAACCACCATGCCAGAAGACAATGCTACTTCCCGGAGCGGTGCCGCTTCTTGCCGAAGTTTATTTTTAACGCTGAATTCAGAGGAGTCTGCGGAGCGGCACTGAGACAGGCATAAATCCCAATGCTCTCAGCAATTTCCCGCAACAGCTCGTGAATCCGATGTACTGGGTGCTGAGGTGCCGAATGCAGAAGTCCCCCCTACTCCACGGCGGAGCCGGCACGGAGCTACAGCGCGGGGAGGTGGGGCAGGGCAGAGAGAAGGCTGTCTGCGCATCCGGGCGCCAGGGGCCCACCCAGGCTTTGTGGAGCCTGAAGTTTATATAGTGGAGGAGAGCGAAGAGGTGGGGGACGAAGCTTCAAAATAAGTCAAAACTAGGATCACAACATTGTTAGAGTCTGACCGCGCCTCCACCCCTTAGGCGTCAGAAGGGCCGGGCAAGTGAGGGGCCGGAGGTTTAAATTCCCCAGCTTCCTGCGGGGAGGGAGGCTAAAGGAGACTCGGGCCTCTGCTGCGCTTACACTGATCACATCCCTGGGCTCCTGCTACATGGTGAACTCTTAACCCCGGGCCCAGGTTTCCTCTCCCTTGCGCTGAGCTGAGCAGGTTGGCCTTCTCTCCCGAAAGAAGAGCAAGGGGAGGGAGAGAAACACTGGAGCGGCGCACGGAGATGGCGAGAGAGCACGTCTCAGCTAAGAGACCTGAGATCGGTTTTAGGACTCCGGTGACAAACAAGTGCAGTTGCACTGCGTGACCCAGACGCAACGTGGAAGCGGTACTCTCCAGGAGAGCCAAGCAACGGGGTCCCGCTGCTCTCCCCCGCTGGCCCGAGCCCGCTCGCAGGGCTCACGCGGGCCTCTCCCGGAGCCCGGAGCGCTTGCGGGCCAGAGGGGGCGGGGGCCGAGCGGCGCGCTCGGAGCCTAGGTCTCGACGGAGCTGCGGGCTGCGGGGAAGCGGGCGGGAGCGGAGGCCTGTCTGGAAGTCTCCCTGGAGCCCTGGCCGGACGGCGCCGGCCGACAGCGTCCCCAAGCCCGCGGGATCGCGATCCGCCCCTGCACCCCGAGAGCGCGGTCACGGCCGCCCGGGCCCCGGAAACTGCGCACGACGCCCCCGGGCGCTTACGGTCGTCTGCTCCTGGCTCCCGGGCTCGGCGGCAGCAGGTACGCGGTCCCTCCGGCTCTGGCTCCCCGGGTTCCCCTGCTCCCTATCCGCGCGTCCCCTGCCAACACCACGCTGACCCCGCCCCGGCTCGGCCTCCCAGAGGGGCGGGCCGGGGCCGGGCCCAGGGCGGCGAGGCTACCCGGGTTCAGTCGCGCTCCGCCCCTGGAACCTGAGCGACCCGGGCGAATCTCTGCACCTGCCTAAGCTCCGCCTCTGCTTTGGAAGAGGGCTCTCAAAGTGCTGCCCGCGGACCCGAGGACAGAAACGAAGCCGAAGTGTTTAGTAACTCAGGCAGTAACTTTGTCCACTGAATCAGAAAACAAACCCGAAGGTTGCACGTTGTATGACTTGTTTCATATTTCTAGCCGTTCATTGCTATTGTATTTTACACATGTATTGGTCCAGGACAGATTGGGAAATTTAAAAACAAACAAATTTGTCTTTCAACACACAGAGTCTGAGAAGCATTAGTCTGGGTGAAAGTACGACCCATTCAAAGTGGTCTTCATCGCACTCGTAGAGAACGGACATGAGGGCACGGATGGGGCGAAGGGTAAGCTGGGACGAAGTGAGAGAGTAACATGGGCATATATACACTACCAAATGTAAAATGGATGGCTAGTGGGAAGCAGCCGCATAGCACAGGGAGATCAGCTCGGTGCTTTGTGAGCACCTAGAGGGGTGGGATAGGGAGGGTGGGAGGGAGGTTCAAGAGGGAGGGGATATGGGGATACATGTATACATATAGCTGATTCACTTTGTTGTGCAGCAGAAACTAACACAACATTGTAAAGCCATTATACTCCAATAAAGATGTAAAAACAAAACCAAAAACAAACAAACAAAACCCAAAGAGGTCTTCGTGGTGAGGATTAGGTCTACAACGGGTAGTTCAACCCCTGGACAGTAGCGCTTAATCAATCCACTTCAGTTCAGCAGAAGCTGGGCGCTCAGGCCAGTGGATGCTTGGCTCTTGACTTCTGCAACAAGCGTTTAATCCCCAGACCTTCATCCTTAGAAAACCTACCCTGTCACCTCTGTCATCGCTCCTCGTCACCGCCTCACAACTCCTCCGACACCGTTTTTATGTGCTCACAGATGCAGTTTCAACACCCGGCGTCCTCAAGATCACAGCCAGCAGACCAGAACCAGGGCCTGTTACAGGGATATTAAACTTCTCACTGTCACCCTGTATACAACTTCAGGATAAAGTTCACCCCCTTGGCCTCCAACCTTACTGCTCACCCTGGCCCAAGAACTCTCCATTTCAGTGAAGAGAGGCTGTTCCTGGCTAACAAACACACTCAATTCAGTCACATCTCCAACCTTTGCTCGTGCAGCATGCCTGGAAAGGATGCTCTCCTGCATCCAAACATGAAATCCTACTGTTCTTTAATTCCACACCCTCCTACAAAAGCCTTCTCTCATCCCTGCAGTGTCTGGCATCTCTGTGCTTCTTGAAAACGTGCAGCCTGTGAGATCCCTCCATCCCTCCCCCACATCTTTCAGACAGAAGCTGCTCTGCCTCTGGCCATTTTACCAAGGGACTCAAATTTGTTACTCTTCAAACTGCAGTGATGATGAAAACATTCTAAAATTAGATATTGGTGATGGTGTATCACCATAACTCTGTTAATATACTAAAAACTACTGAATTGTACACTTTAGTTTTTTATATAAATTTAAAAATTTATTTTTGGCTGCATTGGGTCTTTGTTGCTGCGCGCGGGCTTTCTCTAGTTGCGGAAGGCGGGGGCTACTCTTCCTTGCGGGGCGCGGGCTTCTCATTGCAGTGGCTTCTCTTGTTGCGGAGCACCGGCTCTAGGTGGGCAGACTTCAGTAGTTGTGGCTCGCGGGCTCATGGGCTTAGTTGCTCCGTGGCATGTGGGATCTTCCCGAGCTCGAACCCGTGTCCCCTTCATTGGCAGGCAGATTCTTAAGCACAGCGCCACCGGGGAAGCCCTGAACTGTTCACTTTAAAAGGATGAATTTTATGGTATGTGAATTATTGAATTTTATGGTATGTGAATTATATCTCAAGAAAACTGTTATTTTTATATAAAAAAACTGCACTGAGGTTGTAACCTCACTCCTCACTCCTGTATCTTAATATCCTCCTCCTTGGTTAGATATTCCTCCAGTATTAGAATATGGAATCCAGGACAGTGCAAGATATTTCAAAGTACAGTCTATATATACACAGTCAGTAAATAAATAAGGCACTGAGTCCAACTCAGCAGGGCAAAATTTAGGCAATCAGATTTCAGCTTTTGGTCAAAAGCTGTTGAAAGGTTTATGGAGTGAAAGAATGGGTATAAAGTGATCTCTAGAATAAATTATGTATTTTTAAAAGTCAGAACAAAGGCTGTTCTTCTGTACAAACTTCTGGAGAGTTTCCAGGTACATCAGGGAGAATGAAGAATAATGTGTTGGGGGGAACAATCTTGGCTAAAAATTGTAGATCAATTCCTGATTCACTGGAAGGAAACATCTTTTATGCCAAAAATGCATAATATAAATCTAATCATGAGGAAACATCAGGAAAAAAAACACACCAGATTAAGTAACATTCTACAAAATAACTGGCCTGTACTTTTCAAAGATGTCAATGTCAGAAAAGTCAATGTCATGAAAGGAAAGGAAAGGCAGATAAAAACGTTCATGATGAAAGGAGACTAAAGAGTCATAAAAACAAATCGCAACGCTCTATCCTAGACTGGATCCTGGACCAGACACCATTTCTATGAAGAATATTATTGGGACTACTGGGGACACTTGAAGAAAATCTATAAATTAAATAATAGTATTATATTAATGTTAAATATCTTGATTTTGAGAATGAATTCTTTCTAAGTGAATATCCTTGATCTCAGAAAATACACACTGAATTATTTAAGGAGTCAGGGCTGAAATGTCCTTTCATTTCATACACTATAGATACTCTACATATATATATATATATATATATATATATATATATATATATATATATATATGGAGAGAGAGAATTACAAAGCAAATGCAACAAAATGTTAACAACTAGTAACTCTGGGTAAAGCATATATGGCAATTCCTTATACTATTCTTGCAACAACTTTGCTGTAAGTTTGAAATTATTTTGAAATTAAAAGTTTTAAAAAATGTGGGTTAAATAAACATATACATTTATCTCAGTTCCCTACTGAAAACGCCGTGGAAATAACTACAGAGGGGTAGAAAAGTTATAAGTTCCACCAGGAGAAAGTGATTGGGAGAAAAGATAACAGCAGACGAGAAATGGCAACAGATTTTTGTAAGATGAAAAGTCAGATGATTGACTTAGCAGAACAGATAAAGCTAAAAAGCTTTTTACAATCAGAAGCAAGCAGATTCCTGCCCTAGTCTTGCAGAGATCATTCAGCTATAGCCCATGGGCCACACAGGACCCACAACTTATTTTTGTAAATTGTTTTTGTAAATAAAGTTTTATTGGAGTACAGTCATACTCATTTGTTTGCATACTGTCTATGGCTGATTTCATACAATAGCTGAGTTGAGTAGTTACCTGTAAAGCCTAAAATATTTATTATCTGACCCTTATACAGAAAACATTTGCCAATCCCTGCCTTAGAGCCCTGCAAAGTCTTAGGAGCTAGAGGTATGGGGAGTCTCTGAAGGCAGGGGTGTGATGGTGTGGGAAATGGTCATCTGCCATAGACCTTGAGTGTCCCTGCATGTTCCTGCTGGGTGTGCCGAGAACGCAAGGCAAAGACTCAATAGTGGAGCATTGCTGTTTAATGGGTATAGAAGTTCAGTTCTGCAAGATGAAAAGAGTTCTGGAAATGGGTAGTGGTGATGGTTGCATGACAATATAAATGAATGTCCTTAATGCTACTTAACTGTACACTTAAAAATGGTTAAGATGATAAATTTTATATTATGTGTATTTTACCACACACACACACACACACACACACACACACACATTGGGGGGAAAAAAACCCTAGGAGGATTAATTTAAAATTTGTATAAGGAGAATTTGTATCTCCTGTCCCTTGTTCATAGTCTAAGCCAGCGACCAGTCCTCCCTCATTGTGGCTGACCAGGGGTTTATTTTCTGGAGACTGAACTGAAAGGCTTCCACCCCAGGGGCACTAGGCCCAAGTAGAACAGGGATGAGGCACCGACTGAAAACAGTAGAACCAAGTGAAAGTCTTCCCATTAACCTGTGAGTCCCTCCTCAGCCCCTTCCCACTTGAGTTCACAGAACACTGTCTCCAAGTAATAATCCCAAGGCAGGAAGCAGAGGATCTGCCTTTGAACTAAATGAGCCGTCCTGGAGAAAATAGCCACAGATAGAAAGAGCCACAGATAGTGACATCTGGGGGCCTCATAACAAAACAGCTGGCTCCCCATCTGACCACCCTCCATTGAGGTCAATCAGGCTACTGCCCCCCACGCACACAGAACTTCCAAATGGTGTTTTAGTGCCTCACTCCTAAACGTTAAAAGATCACCAGACACTGGCAAAAGTCTCCCACATAAAAGGCAGAGTCCAAACTAGAGAGAGAAAGTGCTCACAGGTAACAGAAGAAACTATAATATCCTCAAAGAGATAAAAAATGAATTGAAGCAGGAACAGGACACAATTAAAAAAGAAGCATGCAGAGAATTAGAATGCACTTTTTGAAATTAAAAATTTAAGAGAAAGGTCAGAGGATAGAGTTGAGGAACTCTCCCAGAAAAACAGAACACAAATCAAAGAGATAGACAGTGGAAGAAAAAAAAAAAAGGAAAAGAAAAATCAGAAGATCGATCCAGGAAGTCACCAGACTAATAAGAGCTCCATAAGAGAGAAAAGACAATATAGACAGAAGGAAATTATTAAAGAAATAATCCAAGAATATTTCCCAAACCAAAGCACAGGAGTCTCCAGATTAAAAAGACACAATAAAAAGCCAGAAGAACACACCAATGCAAGTCACTGTGAAATTTCAGAATACTAAAGAAAAAGAGAAGATCCTAAAAGCTTTGGTTGGGGGGGGACCCAAAAAACCAAAAATAGTCAACACAAAGACTCAATAATCAGAATATCCTCAGACTTCTTAGCAATAACATTGGATGCCATAAAATAGTGAAGCCAGGCCTTCAAAAGTTGTGGGAAAATTATTTCCAAAGAAGAATTATATAATAAAGTGTGAGGGCAAATTAAGGACATTCTCATACATATAAGGACTAAATATATTTTTACTTCTCATGCACCCATTTCTAGGGATATTACTAGAGGATGTGCTCCAGCAAAACAAGGGGGTCAAATATGAAAGGGGAAGACATAGTATTTGGGAAACAGGGCATCTGATAAAGGAGCAGCAATAGGAGTCCTGGGCTGACAACTGTGCAGCAGGCTTAGAAAGCAACCTGTCCAGATTGAAAGAGGAAGACAAATGGCTAGGAGGCAGGTCTCCAGGGGAGAAATGAAATTATATACTAACTGAGTTAACTTTTTGGGAAATAACATGAACAGATATTTGTCAGATCTGATGGCTTATTTAGGGGGAAAAAAACTAAGGATAGGAAGATAGAAAAATAAGTGAAGGAGGAAAATGATTAACAACAGGAAAAACAGAAAGTTGTTCAAGAAAGCAAATCTAATCATGGTACGCTGCTTGGCTGGGTAGTGGGCATATTTACATAGTCATCATTAGGTAACCACTAATGATTTAACACAAAGTTATTGTTACTATCTTGGGAGGATGCAGTGGGAGCAGTAGGGCCAGGTGTATAATACTTAAGTCTTTATTATAAGAAAAAATCAATAGGTCATGTCTAAAATTGACAAACCAAGAAATATGCATTATAGGCATATTATTTAGATATTCAGAGGTAAATGCCAAAAGACTTGAAAGTAGAATGAGAAAAGTGAGGGAAGGGGATTGTTATATTTTATTCTAAGCCTTGATTATTTGATTGCTCAATAACCATGTACAGATAAAAATAGAAATTCATTTAAAAATATTATTTTCTAAGGCCATCGGACACTCCAGATTCGTTGCATTTCTCCCTAGATTTCTAAAGCATGACTTGCACTCTTCCCAATTCCAGGCTCATATCAGTTCCAATAAACTGCTGTTTACTTCTGCTTCCACTCAAACTTTTCCTTCACATTTATTCACCATGGGGCTCCTGCCTTGCACTCTCTGCTCTCTGGATGCTTACCAGTAAGTTCCTTTTCCGATGCCAACTGAAAGATTATAGATTGCATCAGACCCTGTATGTATTTTATTAGAGTTAGATTCTCATATCACCTGCTACTCATCACAAAAGTGTTATCTACCTCAAAATGAACAGATTACAGATCCCCTGGGACTTTAGAGTGGAGGTGAGGATACCAAATGGCTATTTTACAAAATGCCCTAAAGAGAGAGCATTTTGTAAGAAAATCAATTACACAGAATTATTTCATATCTGTATTTCTCATCATTTTTATAATCAAGTATATTTAACAGTCATCTGTTAGCATACGGTGCTACCCCAACTAATGGAAGAGATTTTCACATAGTGAGGTATAAGAACTTATTCTGGCTTATACATGATTTAACTTGAACTTTAGCCTAACAAGGACAGCTTGTTTGTGGCCTATTAAACATTCATTGTACATCTGCTTTAACCATTAACACAAAGAATGCAGTTTAAAAAATCAAAATGGAGTAACTGTGGTTCAAGCCTTCAAAATGGAGCTGAGTGGCCATTTTGGACACTGTTTCAGACACGTTCCTGGATTACTAAGAATTAAATTTTCTGAAATGTATCAGACTCAAGGACACAACCATCCGTTCTCAAAACAATATCTGATAGCTGCCAGCTGCAACCTCACGGTCTCAAGGTCTCCCCTTGTAACTATGCAACCATTTGGGACAACAACCAATCCTTCCTTGGCAGGCAACCTTGCTTCTTGCCAGCTCCAATTATAATTCTTGACAAACAGCTCCTGTAATTTTGCAGTCTTTGCCTCCATAAGCCTCCTCCATTTTGTAGTATGGCAGAACACAATTCAAGCGCTACTTGAATCTGTGTCTCCTGGGCTGTAATCTTCAGTTTGGCTCAAATAAAACTCTTTTCTACTCCTATTGTAGATTGGTTTATTGATTTTTTCCGTCAACACAACCAAACAACCAATAAAGAAACACAAATGGAACCCCCAGTTTCTAGAAACTTGCCCGTGTACAATAGACAAGATAATTTACAAGGATATCTTTTGGGAGATTATCAAGAATGACAAAATAAAGTAATATGTACTGAGTCACCTCAAATAGAAAATAATTTTAGGGGTTTTTTTGGCGGTACACGGGCCTCTCACTGTCATGGCCTCTCCCGTTGCGGAGCACAGGCTCCGGACGCGCAGGCTCAGCGGCCATGGCTCACGAGCCCAGCCGCTCCACGGCATGTGGGATCTTCCCGGACTGGGGCACGAACCCATGTCCCCTGCATTGGCAGGCGGACTCTCAACCACTGGGCCACCAGGGAAGCCCAAATTTTAGGTTTAAATAGATTTCATAGTTTTACAAAAAGATGCAAACGAAGAGGAAAGATGCAAAATGTTGGATTTTTTAAAGCACTTTTCCTATGTCCACAGAAAGGCGGAAGGATACATTCTTACTGAACAATCCTTCCTTTAAATTACTTCACACTGACCACTTTCTCCCACGTTTCTTGAGATCACTGACTATACTATATTCCCAGGACTTCAAGGTCAACAATATTATCTCATGAAGATCAAAAGTCAACAGAAGAATTTAGTAAAGAAGCCAGTTGTAAACACAGTTTATACACAAAGTTCAAAGGAAGTCAAGGCCCTCTTGAGCCCTCTATGGGCCTGCATTGGACACTGCATTATGACGATGCCCTATCTGAGTATGAGAATCATTTCGTTCTTGTTTTGCCCAGGATGGGGAGATTGTTATTTAAACTCAGTATTTTAATCAGAGTCAATCATTTGAAGCCTCAGTTGGCTCTACACGGTTTTAAGACAACAGCAGTTTCAGCCCTTTTCCCCCACCTCCATCCCCTGTTCTCCTTGAAGAGCAAAAACCAGGTTTAACCCTTTTAACTGATTCTTTTTATATTTGTATACTTAAGTGTTTTTCTTTTTTAACCTCATCTTAGGCACTACCTGTTGAAGACTTCAACAGATAAGGAAATTAGCTCTTCAACTGACTTCCCTAGGGAACTTCCATCCGCCCCGTATTCCTTCCCCCCAATTTTAGTTATATTTTAATATTCAGTGTTTTCATTATTTGAAGGCAACTCAGGGCCAAGCTATTATCACTATGATTTTCTTTTCCTGTGTAGCATGATGTTTTCCCTAGAATTAATATTTTTAAAATTTGCTTGGTTTTCTGTGTACCGATCACTACTTCACCACTGACCTCTCTATCAGTTAAATACATGCCTTCATAGTAAATTCATTCACATCAGATTTTTCTCCTTTTCTTAAAGAAGTGCCTCAGGAGCCCTCTGACCTACCTCTGGTCTGGTCTGGTGGCTCCATCCCTGCGGCACAGCTGTCATCTGAGTTCCCCCTTCACCACCATCCTGGGGATTCCTTCCTGCTGTCTCCTATGTTAGGTATCCACTTCCTATATCCCATGTCTTCGTCTTTCTTGATTCATTCCATTTTAGAGGAACACCTCCTTGAGTGACTTCCTGAAAAAGGTTCTGTGGGAGGTAAATTTCTGAGACATTGTGGAGTAGATTACTGCCCCTGGCGATTTGCTGAGGAGCCACAACTGTCTGTAATTTGAGCAAAAAATAAACTTTTTTCAAGATACTGAGGTTGGAGGGCCACCTCAGTAAAACCTAATCTAATTGTGTCTGGGAAATGTCTTTATTCAATATTTCCCTTTAACTGTTTGGATGAATACAGTTAAACAGGATGGAAACAGTTTTCCTTCAGAATTTTGAAGGCATTGCTCCACCATATTCTAGTTTCTAGTATTGCCCATGAGAAGTCCAAAGCCACGCTGATGCCTTTTAAAGGCATCTGATCCTTTTAAAAGTTCTGATCCAGATGGCTTCACAGGCGAATTCTATCAAACATTTAGAGAAGAGCTAACATCTATCCTTCTCAAACTCTTCCAAAATATAGCAGAGGGAGGAACACTCCCTAACTCCTTCTACGAGGCCACCATCACCTTGATACCAAAACCAGACAAGGATGTCACAAAGAAAGAAAACTACAGGCCAATATCACTGATGAACATAGATGCAAAAATCCTCAACAAAATACTAGCAAACAGAATCCAACAGCACATTAAAAGGATCATACACCATGATCAAGTGGGGTTTATTCCAGGAATGCAAGGATTCTTCAATATACGCAAATCTATCAATGTGATAAACCATATTAACAAATTGAAGGAGAAAAACCATATGATCATCTCAATAGATGCAGAGAAAGCTTTTGACAAAATTCAACACCCATTTATGATAAAAACCCTGCAGAAAGTAGGCATAGAGGGAACTTTCCTCAACATAATAAAGGCCATATATGACAAGCCCACAGCAAACATCATCCTCAATGGTGAAAAACTGAAAGCATTCCCACTAAGATCAGGAACAAGACAAGGTTGCCCACTCTCACCACTATTATTCAACATTGTTTTGGAAGTTTTAGCCACAGCAATCAGAGAAGAAAAGGAAATAAAAGGAATCCAAATTGGAAAAGAAGAAGTAAAGCTGTCACTGTTTGCAGATGACATGATCCTATACATAGAGAACCCTAAAGGTGCTACCAGAAAACTACTAGAGCTAATCAATGAATTTGGTAAAGTGGCAGGATACAAAATTAATGCACAGAAATCTCTGGCATTCCTATATACTAATGATGAAAAATCTGAAAGGGAAATCAAGAAAACACTCCCATTTACCATTGCAACAAAAAGAATAAAATATCTAGGAATAAACCTACCTAAGGAGACAAAAGACCTGTATGCAGAAAATTATAAGACACTGATGAAAGAAATTAAAGATGATATAAATAGATGGAGAGATATACCATGTTCTTGGATTGGAAGAATCAACATTGTGAAAATGACTCTACTACCCAAAGCGATCTATAGATTCAATGCAATCCCTATCAAACTACCACTGGCATTTTTCACAGAACTAGAACAAAAAATTTCACAATTTGTATGGAAACACAAAAGACCCCGAATAGCCAAAGCAATCTTGAGAACGAAAGAAGGAACTGGAGGAATCAGGCTCCCTGACTTCAGACTATACTACAAAGCTACAGTCATCAAGACGGTATGGTACTGGCACAAAAACAGAAAGATAGATCAATGGAACAGGATAGAAAGCCCAGAGATAAACCCATGCACATATGGACACCTTATCTTTGATAAAGGAGGCAGGAATGTACAATGGAGAAAGGACAGCCTCTTCAATAAGTGGTGCTGGGAAAACTGGACAGGTACATGTAAAAGTATGAGATTAGATCACTCCCTAACACCATACACAAAAATAAGCTCAAAATGGATTAAAGACCTAAATGTAAGGCCAGAAACTATCAAACTCTTAGAGGAAAACATAGGCAGAACACTCTATGACATAAATCAAAGCAAGATCCTTTCTGACCCACCTCCTAGAGTAATGGAAATAAAAACAAAAATAAACAAATGGGACCTAATGAAACTTCAAAGCTTTTGCACAGCAAAGGAAACCATAAACAAGACCAAAAGACAACCCTCAGAATGGGAGAAAATATTTGCAAATGAAGCAACCGACAAAGGATTAATCTCCAAAATTTACAAGCAGCTCATGCAGCTCAATAACAAGAAAACAAACAACCCAATCCAAAAATGGGCAGAAGACCTAAATAGACATTTCTCCAAAGAAGATATACAGACTGCCAACAAACACATGAAAGAATGCTCAACATCATTAATCATTAGAGAAATGCAAATCAAAACTACAATGAGATATCATCTCACACCAGTCAGAATGGCCATCATCAAAAAATCTAGAAACAATAAATGCTGGAGAGGGTGTGGAGAAAAGGGAACCCTCTTGCACTGCTGGTGGGAATGTGAATTGGTTCAGCCACTATGGAGAACAGTATGGAGGTTCCTTAAAAAACTACAAATAGAACTACCATATGACCCAGCAATCCCACTACTGGGCATATACCCTGAGGAAACCAAAATTCAAAAAGAGTCATGTACCAAAATGTTCATTGCAGCTCTATTTACAATAGCCCGGAGATGGAAACAACCTAAGTGCCCATCATCGGATGAATGGATAAAGAAGATGTGGCACATATATACAATGGAATATTACTCAGCCATAAAAAGAAACGAAATTGAGCTATTTGTAATGAGGTGGATAGACCTAGAGTCTGTCATACAGAGTGAAGTAAGTCAGAAAGAAAAAGACAAATACCGTATGCTAACACATATATATGGAATTTAAGAAAAAAATGTCATGAAGAACCTAGGGGTAAAGCAGGAATAAAGACGCAGACCTCTTAGAGAACGGACTTGAGGTTATGGGGAGGGGGAAGGGTGAGCTATGACAGGGCGAGAGAGAGTCATGGGCATATACACACTAACAAACGCAGTAAGGTAGATAGCTAGTGGGAAGTAGCCGCATGGCACAGGGATATTGGCTCGGTGCTTTGTGACAGCCTGGAGGGGTGGGATGGGGAGGGTGGGAGGGAGGGAGACGCAACAGGGAAGACATATGGGAACATATGTTTATGTATGACTGATTCACTTTGTTATAAAGCAGAGACTGGCACACTATTGTAAAGCAGTTATACCCCAATAAAGATGTTAAAAAAAAAAAAAAAAAAAAGTTCTGATCCTTTTAAAGAACCACCCCCCACCCCCGGGACTTCCCTGGTAGTGCAGTGGTTAAGAATCCACCTGCCGATGCAGGGGACACGGGTTCGATCCCTGGTCCGGGAAGATCCCACATGCCGCGGAGCAACTAAGCCCGTGCGCCACAACTACTAAGGCTGCGCTCTAGAGCCCGCGAGCCACAACTACCGAGCCCACGAGCCACAACTACTGAAGCCCGTGCGCCTAGAGCCTCTGTTCCACAACAGAAGCCACCGCACTGAGAAGCCCACACACAGCAATGAAGAGTAGCAGTAAAAAATACATAAATTAATTAATTAAAAATAAAGACCTCTCCACCTTTTTCCTCTGGAAGCTTATAGGAGCTTCTCTTTATCACCATTATACTGAAATTCTGAGATCACAGGTCCTGATATTTGGTCTACTTTCACCCTCATGCAAGGCACTAGGCAGGCCCTTTCAGTCTGGAAATTCATGTCCTTTAATTTTGCAAAAATTTCTTAAATAATCCTGTTGATTTCTTCCACTCCATGTTCTTTTTTAGGAAATTCCTATATCCAAATCTTGAACTGTTTTTCCTATCTACTCTTGCCTTTTTTTCTGCCTCTTTTTGGCTCCATTTTCTGAGGTATTTCTGCAATTTTTTCTTTTCCCACTTCTACTTTTTCACTTCAGCTGTCATGTTTTTAATTTCCAGGAGTCTTTTCTGTTCATTTAATCTAGGTTCCCCTGAAAGCAGAGCCTGAGACAAAGGCTTACTTATAGTAGCTTATTTGGGAAGTCATTCCAGGGATAGGAGTGAGGGCTGGGAGGTGAAAATGTAAAGGAGGAAAAGACAATATGAGGACGTTTTCAACTACACCACTGCCCTGGGTAACTGGCGCTTGATTCTATCGGACCTTCTGAGAAGATTTATAAAATGATTCTCAGAACTGTCCACACAGGGAGCAAAAAGTAGGAGTATTAGTGCCATCCCTCACTGGTCAAGGGTGAACCTCACAGGCTTAGAATTCCCTGCATTTCTGGGTTGCATGTACATGAATGCCAAGAAAAGTGGTGTCAGACTGAAACCATAAAGGAACGGACTAAGAGAGTAAGTGACTATATCAAAATCTGAAACTTCTGCGTGGCAAAAGGTATCTGTGGTAGGCTGAACAGTGGTTCCCCCAAAGACATCCCTGAGCTAACCCCCAGAACCTGTGACAGTTACCTTAGATGGCAAAAGGGACTTTGAAGATGTCATTAAAATGTGAAGATTATCCTGGGTTATCTGGGTGGGAACTAAATGTAATCACCAGGGTCCTTATAAGAGGGAGTCAAGAAGGTCAAAGCAAGAAGGAGATGTGGTGACAGAGTATGGGTAGGAAGGGAGATGCAGCATGGAGCCATGAGCTCCATGAGAACAGCCTTGGGAGACTGGGAAAGGCAAAAAATGGGTTCTCCACTGGAGCCCTCAGATGGAATGAATCCTGATTGCTTTTAGCCCTTTTTCAGTCACTTCAGACTTCTGTTCCTGTAAGAGAATAAATGTGTGGGTTTTTTAAGCCACTAAATTTATGATAATCTGTTATGGCAGCAATAACAAACAAATTAGTTTCCAAGGGATCGAAACAGTATCCATACACAAAGATAAAATATGAATGACAGAATGGGCAAAATGCTTGGGACATATTTAACAGAAGACATTCTGAAAACATAGAGGATTCCTGTTTTTTTAATTTAATAAACACGTAGAAATTACTATGTCCCAGGCCCTAAGTGCTTTACAAATGCTAATTCACTTAATCTTCATAATAACTCTATGAGGTTCTTATTATCTGCCATCCGAGGAAACTGAGGCACAGAGGTTAAAGAACCTGTCCAACATTCCAAGAACCCTTAAAGAAATAACAACCCAACAGAACATTAGCAAAAACACATTTGAAGATACCGTTATCAACTCAAGTCCTCTGGAAAGCATATACCAAGATGGAATAAGTGTAAAGGTCTATTGGCAGAAATGCCTGTGAACAGAAGAGGAAGCAGGAGAGGGAAAGAGCCTCAGACCACAGTGCAGGTCTGACACCTGTGAAGGGAGAGCAGGGAGGAAGGAAGAGCCTCAGCCTGCAGTGCAGCTCTCGGTCTTGGCCAGGCTATACGGGGCAGGACTGGCCCAGTGCTAG